TTTTCTTTCCCCGATTGCTCCTGCTGCCTCTCTGGCTCGATTCTGACGGCTGGCATTCTGAGCCGAGTTTTGCCACTGAGGCACGTATAAAGCTGTCCTCGGAGATTAACGCTCCTGAATTTCTGGGAGTCCCAGAGGCTGGCCGGGGTCCTCTCGCCCCTTCCCAGTAACCGCCATTGCAGCCGCTAACAATTGTCAGGCGCCCCCAACCCATGGAAGCTTAACGAGTCGGGGACCCCAGGTCGGGCCCGAGATCGTGGGGCTTCGGGGGAGCCGCCCGCCCGCCCGGGAAGGCCGCGGCCAGCCCGCGCCCTCTCCCGGCCTGCTGCTCACCAGGCTCCCGATCTGCTCCCGCGCCGGCCTGGAATGGACCTGGGCGCGCGGCACCACCAGCCGCCGGGCCGAGCCCGTGAGGCCCCTCAGCAGCAGCGGCGTCAGGACGGACATGACCGCACGACGAGACCCAGACCGCGGGCGCAGCGACCCAAGGTCAGAAAGGCAAAATGGCTACACGAGCCGGAAGTCCCGGAGCGGGGCCGGACCCGGAAGTTTGCTGGAAGTGACATCAGGACGCTCGCCCCTACCCCTCTCTTGCAATGTTTTTGGCGCGTCCTTAAAATAGCCAATCAGTGCCGTCCTCCCGCCGGTGGGCGGGGCTCAGCGGAGCCCTCCGACTACAACCTGCCCTGGAGGACGGTCTATTTTCGTGAGTGACATTCTCGACCACCCAATCAGGACAGCACTCGACCCCTCCCTCCATTCATACCCTTACATCTACTTAGAAATCCTTTGGGTACTACCCATCATTCCTGGGTTGGGCTGCCGAGCTGACACTCCTAAGAGAACTCTTCAATTTCTGTGCAGTGGAGCTAGCTTCATTCCTTTATGTCTCCATCTCCCTCCCTCCCTTTGCTGTTTCTGGTACTGGAACAGATAGGGACCCTGTGGTTTTAGGATCCAAGTCCAAACTCCTGAGATTTCCCTATCAGTTCTAGTGACTGGCCCCCATACACCAAATAAACATGACCTTGATGGTGAAAGGCAGAGAAAGATTACACAGCATCAACTGCTGCAGAAGAGCTGAAGCAAACACTTCAGCCGTTCAGCTATGTTCCCGGGTCAGAATGAGCTATAGGTTTAAGTAGACAAGAAAGGAGGATCAAAGATTTATGTATGAACAGCCCCAGTTACATGTGGCCTGGCTGATCATCTCAGTCAGGTCTCCCAGATTCTGGAAGTTATTGTGAGAAGCAATCTGGGTCTTCTAAGATGTGTACACTTGCCCCACATAATTGTGCAGCCTCATCATTTCAGTAATTGTTCTAATTTGCGGATGTTCTCTCCTGAAAGTGATGCTGGTCCTCAGTCCTGGTCTTTATTTTTGGTCCTTAGGCATAAATTTGCTATTGATCAGCCCTGACTTTCCTGGGTTCCAAGGTGACTCCAAAGTGAATGACTTAGAACAAGACATACAAAATAGGTGCTGGGATGACAAGCTTTTCTGCTTTTAGTTAACTCACAGGCCCAAGGAAGCAATCAGTGCTTCTCAGCCAAAGCAGTTTTAAGCACCTATTATAAAAACATCATCAGGGCTGGGAAGGTGGCTCAGTGGTAGAGCGCATGCCCTGCATGCCAGCGGCCCTGGGTTCGATTCCTCAGCACCACATAAGCAAAAAGAAAAAAGCTGGAAGTGGTGCTGTGGCTCAAGTGG